TAATTTAATATATATTTAATAATAAAACCTTTCTGTGCAGGACACAAGCCCCAGAATACAAAGAAGACTGAGGTTGCTTTATAAAGATGCAAAACAACTCAATGACAAAGAACACCCTAACCAATGTTAAAACACAAGTAACAGACAAGGCGAAAGTGTTTGCAATATATTTAAAACACATCAGGTACAACCACTTTGAAAAACTGCTAGGCAATTTCTAATAGAGCTTAAACATACACCTACCCTGTGACCCAGTTATTCCATTCCTAGGTATTTACCCAAGAGAAATGAGAACATATGTCCACACAAGGACCTGTGTAAAAACATTCACAGCAGCTTTATTCATAATAGATCCAAACTGGAAATGACCCTTATGTCTATCACCAGGACAATGGGTGACCAATGTGACAATGAGACACCACTCAGCAATTAACAGGAACCAACTACAGATACATGTAACAACATGGATGAGGCTCAAAAACAATACGTTAAGCAAAAGAAGCCAGGCATGAAAGTGTTTATTTGTGTGGTTCCATTACGGGAAGTTCGGGAAGAGTCAAATCTAATAGCCCGTGATAGAAATCAGAACAACAGCTGCCCCTGGGGGTACTGACCGGGAAGGGGCCTGAGGGAACTTTCAGAAGCAAAGAGACGTTCTGCACCGTGATGTGGGTGATGACTACATGCGTGTGTACATTTGTCAGAACTCTTCAAAGTCTACCCTTAAAATATACATATTTTACTGTATGTAAAATATACCTCGATTAAAAAGACAGTGGATTAAACAGAGGATATATAAAGAGCTCCTAAAAATCACTAAGAAAAGGATAAGTACTATAGAAAAATGGGCAAAGACTATAAACAAACAGCTCATTATTAAAGAAATATTTATGTTCAGCTGACAAATGAAGAAGAGACACTCAGCTTCACAAGGAAGCTAGGAAATGCGTGTTACAACAAGATTATGTTTTTACCCATCAGGCTGACAGAAGTTTAAAAGATTAATAATATCAAATGTTGGCACGAAAAGAAATCAGGGAAACAATCACTCTTATGAACTATGAATCGGTGAAAGTTATTAAAAGACAACTGGGTAGTACCTATCAAAATTTAAAACATACATGCCCTTCGACATAGCACTACAACTCCTGGAAATCTATACAAAAGAGGAATTACTTTAAATCACTATATTTCTGTACCATGGAGTGAAGTAGTTCTATGCGTACCAATATGAAAGAACATATAACTAAATGAACAAAAGCACAATGCAGGGTATACAGTATAGCATGATCCCATTTATACAAAAAACACCTAAGTGTATAACTACACGTATACATACATACATATATATATATATATATATATATATATATATAAATGTACAGAGAAAGGAAAAGAAATAGAACAGGAAATATTTGCCTTAAGTGCTTACAGGGTTATTTCTGGGGAAGGGTATCAGGGGTATTTAGTAAAGGAGAAGTTTCCCATATTGCACCGAATGTTTTTAGTACCATTTTTAAAATAAAAGTGTATTTCTTTACTCTTGGTGCCATTGTGAAAACAAACATAAACTCTTTGATGCTAACTAAGGACTTATGAAGGAATCAATGAATATATATACTTAGCCCTCTATAGATGTACAGCATCGTCCAAGGGGTGAAAGGACCCCACAGAAACGTGTCCCATTCAAATCTCTGTACATTCACTTTGTGATGAGCATGAGATGCTAATCATGTAAATACAGTCCCTCCTGTCATCCAACAGGCACTGGAAAACAGCCGACAACTGAAGTGTGTGTGTTCAAATGTATTCTTACAGGGGTGGTGGGCGTGAGGGCGGGGGTAGGGGGAATACTTTCCCTGAACTTAATCACATAGGTTACCGACCCCTTACAGGACCCTGGCAGCCATGTGTGTTTTGAAGATCAAATTTGACGATTTTAGTCAGTGCTAGTGTACAGAGTCTGCTTGTTGTATAGTACTCCTGGCAGAGTCTGAGGCAGCACCTATGGTCAAACACAAAACATTTCTGCAGCAAAATGCATGAATATTCATACCGAATATGAAGACCAGATAGCCACAGGTCAGTCCAAGTCAGATTATGCTGTCAAATGATTTTGTACTAACTTGAAAAAAATCAATTTTTGGTGTTTGAGATCTGTCTGGATTTTGGAATTGTGGATAAGGGACGGTATTGCAAGTTGATCTCTAACTAAACCTTACTATTTTTTTTTAATTGAAGTGTAGTTGGTTTAGTAAGCCTTTTAAAGGCGATTTCTGACAACATAATGTCAGTGTGATGCGCCTGTAATTTTTTTTTTCCTTTTTTTGGCCATGCTGCGCGGCATGCAGGATCTTAGTTCCCTGACCAGGGATCGAACCCGCGCCCCCTGCATTGGAAGTGCGGAGTCTGAACCACTGGACCTCCAGGGAAGTCCCTTTTTTTTTTTTCACACCTGTATTTTAATATCGTTCGTCCTCTCATAACTCAATGGACACCACCAAGTCAAGGGATTGTTGGCGACCCTGTGGCTGGCCTTAGTCACGCCAAATAATTTCCATGTCTGACCCAACTGTATTAAGATTAGGGAACCTACTGTTCCTACAGTAGCTTTTGCATTTTTTCATTTTCTACTCACTTCTAGGAAATGATATAGGACAAAATCCTATAGCATAGTCACATTCACACACGACGCAGGGTGGACTGAACAGAAACACTACTCAAACCACACTCTTCCGTGTCCAGGCTCAGATCTTCATTCGTTAGTTGATGTGGGGAAATCCAAAGTCAGTACATGAATGTCAGCTCCAGCTCAGCTGGGTCTAACACAGAAAATTTCATATTGCCAGTTCTCATGGGAGTCAGGGCTTTGAATCTATGCTACCCATGTGATGCGAACTCCCAAGCCAGAAAACAGAAGTGGTACCAGGTTTAAAGTGCCCCCTGGTGGCTGGAAGAAGCAAATACAAATCCTCTCTGGAGTAGTATTCTCACTCAGATTTGCCAGAGAAAAACTACAAAAAAAAACGCCTCCGCACTCAAAGCAATGAGTCACCATGAGCAAGAGTCAGCAGAGACAACAAGCAACAGATTTCAACCGGAGTTTCTCAACCTCAGAGCTATTGACATTTGGGACCAGATAATTCTTTTCTGTGGGGTGCTACCCTGTGCATGTTTAGTAGAATACCTAGCCTCTACCCACTAGATGCCAATAGTGTGGGTGCATGCACACACACACACACACACACACACACATACCTGTTTTGACAACCAAAAACGTCTCCAGACATTTCCAAATATCCCAAGGGGAAAGTACTGCCCTCACTTGAAAACCACTGATTTAGATCCTCAAAGGCTTAAAATATTAGAATAATAAGATAGGTCATAAAATAACTGTGTATGACATACTTAAAGACTTAAAAGATGGAACAGAGAAAAATGAGCAAGGAACAAGAAACTACCAAAATTTACAGGTAGATGTTTATAAAGGCTCAAATAGAGCTTCTGGAAATGAAAAAATATAATCTTTGAAATTAAAAAATTCAATATCAGACACAGATAAAGAATTAATGAATTAGAATAGAGATTTAAAGAAATACCCCAACTGCATCAGAAGAGGAAAAAAAAACCAGAAAATGTGACAGAGAGGATAAAAGATAAGGAAAATATGATACAGAGGTTAAGCTACAACTAACTGGAACTCCAGAAGGAAAGAATAAAGAGAATGAGAGAGAGGCAATATTTGCAGAGATAAAGCCTGAGATTTTTTTCTGGGTACTTATATGCAGGAAGTCCTGAATATACCAAGCTGGATGAAAATGCAAGTTGTTATGAGCTGGATGTAGGAAAGCTGAGGACTGAGCCTCAAGGGCTCATTGTTGAAACTGGGGTACCACTCAAAGCCAAGGGTCCACGGGAGGGCCATACTGGCATCATTGGCACGAATGTGGGAGTCCTGCAAAGGGAGTAATCCTGTGGACAGTGACCTGAGCTTGGCCTTGAAAGGTGTTCATCCAATGTTGAATCAAGAGACTTTGATCTGAGCCCTTTATTTTACAGGACAACCTGGGAGATTAACAGGAGGTGGGATGTAGAAGGGCAGAGAGGAAATAGGAAAGCAAGGGAAAGAGCATAAGCAAAGGTTCAGAGGCAAGACTAAACACTTCATGAGCAAAGGACCAAAAGGAGTACTGTTTGATGGATTGGGGATATTTAAGAGAGGAATTACAAAACTGATTGGATGGACACAGTGAAACTAGCCTGGGGAAGTCCCTTGAGAGCTAAGTATCTGTGTTTAGACTTGAAACTGTAGGCCAGGGGTTGACCAACTACAGCCTGTGGGCAAAGTCCGGCCACTGCCTGTTTGTGTAAATAAAGTTTTATTGGAACACAAGCACACCAGTTCATTTACCTATCGTCTCTGGCTGTTTTTGTACTACAACAGCCGAGATGAGTAGTTGCCACAGGCACCACCCCATTTGGCCTGCAAAGGCTAAAATATTTACTATCTGGCTCTTAACAGAAAAAGTTTGCCGATCCCTGATCTAGGCAGGGGCAGCCAGGCAGTGAGGCCTTTCAGCCAATAACCAAGATTAAGAGGATAAACCTGGAAGTGGCTGAAGAACTATGGTTTTGTAAGAAGAGGAGGGAGAAATGTCCCAACCTTTATCGAGTTCCTGCTGAATGCCATCCCTCCTCCCACATTATTATTATTACTTCTCGTAACCACCCTGCCTAGAAGCTGTTACTATTTTTTTTTTTCAGAGGTGAGGAAAATGGGACCCAGAGAGGTTAAGTGATTTACCCAAAGTCAGCCGGTATTTCAGGCAGAGCTGAGATTTAATTTCAGGTTGGTCAGATTCCAAAGCTGATGCCCTTCCTACCACACCTCATTACCTTTCCAGGCACTGTGCATCCCAGACGGGAGGGGACAGCCCCAGGCCGATGAACTGGCTACTGTGTGTCATACCCAGCAACAGTTCAAACTGGGATGGTGGTGGTAAATGTTTACCTCCTCTCTTGAAAACAGATCCAGGGGCCTACTCTGACCTGGGGTTGGGGGGGCCACTGGCCCAGGGCTCCTCCAACATGTGCTCCCAACTTGTCCAGACATTGGCTCCACCCTGGCCCCCTCCATCCCATGCCTCCAGAGCCAATAGGCCAAGAATGCCTGTTGTACAACTTCCCTCCAGCCTCATCTCACAGCACGATGCTAAAGGCAGTTGGGCCATATGATAGCATCTCCATACCTATGAAAAAACACGAGGGTTGGCGGCCCTGTGCAGTGCCACCCACAAGAGATGGCCCAGTTGATTTGCAGTGAAATTGCAACACAGCCTCTGCTCCTGCCCCAGCTGGATCCCAGGCCCTGGAGCAGAGCCCATCAGGGCTTGCTTCCACCCCCAGCCTGGCTCCTGTTTCTCCCATGACTAATCTGGATCCTCATCTGACAGCTACCATGACCACTCTGTCCAGATAGGGCCTAACAGAACTGCTTTTCGGTTTTGCGGTCAAGCTGGTTCTTGAAATTTCCCCAGAGTTCCAGCACGGTTGAGTCTGTCTGTGGGGAACTATAACTGGCTGCCCCTTAGAGTTGAGCTTGAGGTTGAGGATTTGAGAAGCCAAGAGAAAGAGGTTAGGAAAGTATGAATTCTACCTAAGGCCTTGGTTCAGATACCATGCCAAATAATCTCTAACCCCCAGTGTGTCCATGAGGAAATGGGTGTAAACATAGGCAGACAACCTCCCCAGAGAAGACGGGAGGAACCCTGTGACCCCAGGCCTACTGACAGCCTCCAATGGGCAATTGCTACACTCTCCTACTCTCCTGTCTTGGGAAACAGAGATTTATGTCACCTCCAGGGACACTGGGCCCACACCTGCTTGTATGCTGAATTGCTGGCTGTCCCAGATGCAGAGGGACAGTGGGAAGTGAGAGACACCGGCCCAGGCTTATCCGGCCAGCCTTCCACAAACACAACCTGTTGACCCCTTTGCTGTTAGCCACAATGTGTGCCCACAGGGGGTGATAGAAGGAAAGGGATGGGGGAGCCAGGAAATGACAAGCGAGAAGAGGTTTAATGAGCATTTATTATGTGCCAAGCTCAGCACCGGGCACATACAGCACCATTACATTTATTCCTTATGTGGTGAAGTAGACATGATTTATTAGACTATACACGTGCTTCCCTGAGACATAGCACAGCATAAATGTTAAGGACTGTGGAGGTAGCTCCTCCTGGATCTCAGCTGTGCCACTAACTGCCTGTGTGATCTCAGTTAACTCACCTAAAACATAGGGGTTAAAAAATGTGAATCACTGCGTATGGTTGTTACAGAGATTAAATGAGATAATGTACATAAAGTACTTAGAATAATGCCCAATACACAGACAGTAAAATAGTTGTGTTAATTAACTGTGATTTTTTTTTAAATCATTATTCTTATTTTACTGTTGAGGAAATTGAGGCTCAGAGAGGAGCCCAAGGTCACACAGCTAAAGAATGACAAATGCTGGGATTCACCTGCAGGTCTATCTGATGCCACTACCCCCCCATTCGAAGATTCTGAGTCCATGAGCGTTGAGATATAAAGAGAAACTTGGGCGCCCTTGAGCCTCAGGGCAAGATGGCTACACAGGCACCTGCCAGGGGCTGTGGCTGTCCTCAGGAAGGGAGTGAGTCAACCTCACAAGGTCATGGGGTGAGGTCCCCTGGGAGGGGCTCAAGGCTTCTCAGCACCCCTGGGGCCTAAAGGGAACGCAGGTGGGGAAATGGCTCTGGGTGACAGGAGTCTGCCCATCCCTGAAGGCCAACGAATGACTATGCAGAAAGAGTGGAGAAGAGAGCTCAGCCTCCCGGAGGTCAGGGCCAGTGATGGTGAAAGAGCCCCTGGCAACAGATAAACAGGAAGGCCTGTTGCACACTACCAGACAGATGCACAGATGCACAAGCAGCCCTCACACGTGAATGGTGGTACCGAAGCATCGCACAGCAGCTCAAGATCACAGCAGCAAAAGCCCCTTCAGCGGAGCATCCCTCCTCAACCAGTCCACGCCCAGCCACAAAGTGGGCCAGGCCTCTGGCACCTGGAGATACACAGCCTTCCTGGGCACCCATTTTTCCAGCCATGAAATGCAGGTGATCAGACCCAGCTCCCAGGGCAGTTCTAAGGACCGAGGTTAGATTACAGCGTGAGTAACCTTCCCCAGTACACAGCTCATGAACTCCTGCTCCCCACTGCACCCCTGACGCTCCTGACCAAGCTGTCTCCCACTCTCTCAAAGAGCTGGACTCAAGATGGGTTTCTACTGAGCTTCTCAGACCAAGGTTCCTGGAGGGCAGAACTGTGCTTTTTCATATTTAAAGCATCCTCACCCTCTCCCTAGCACTGTGTGTTGGCCCACGCCTGATGGAGAAAAATAGTTCAACTTAAATATCCCTGGACAGGTACAGCCACTAGCCTTGTCCCCAGTGTCCCTGGGGCCAATGAACGGTCTGAGCTACCTCAACAGAAAATCAATGTCTGCCTCTAAAGGTCCTGCGTTCTGCATCATCTGTGGTTAGAGGCCAGCACCACTTGCGGAGGAGGTTGCAAAAGGGATTCAGTCACTGACTAGGAGCCAGATCTGTGGCCTTTGAAAGCCTCACGGGCCAGCCAGAGCCTCTGATTCTGCGTTGTTGGACTTCTGCCTGCTTTACAAGCAGAGCCCAAAGCCTCCTTAATAAAATGTGCTATCTGCCTAATGAATGTATTTCTAGGGCATTCAAGTTCAAAGCCAGTACAATACTGGCAGGCAGGCAGGAGAAAAGAATGGGGAGCAGGATGCGAGCCGGGGACCCCCTGAGCCCAGCAGACGTGTTTACCAAAAAATCCTCCTCATCCTGGGATCCCTGAGACCCAGCCCTACTGCCCAAGCAGGCTGGGCTGTGATCGCATCCAGCCCCTCCTGAGGCCCGAGGCACACGGGGTGCGGGGCAGAGGGCTGCATCACGTGCACTCTTTGGATTCCATAATTGTTGCTCTGAAAATCTGTCAGAGGCTCTGAGGGGCACCAAGGCAGTTCTTTGGAAAACAAGCAGACGGCGGTGAAGGGAACCAAAGCCTCAATTACACTGGGGACAGAAGCCTTTGAAAAGAGATGGTTTAATGAAAAGGTGCTGTCAAGGGCTAACCGTGTGGAGGGCAGCCTGTCCTCAGCTGCTTTTCTCCCTGTCCGCCCCCCCCTCCCCACCTAGTCAGGAGCCAGCACTGCAGGCCCCAGAACTTCAGTGCCTGAGGATTAACCCCTGCAGGGCTGGGAAGGAAGGAGCTGCAGGGCCAGGTGCACAGGCCAGCTGCCTGCGGGCCCTGCTTGTTGCCTGGAGTCTGTCCCCTTACCCAGTCTGTGACCTGGGTTCTGGACCTGTGGTCCCCCCTGATCAGACTGGGTGGTGACCCAGGCTTGGAGAAGACAATGCAGCCACAGTATTTTTCTGCAGCCTCGTTCATTGTTTGACCAAGGGGACTTTCAGTATATATTTAATCTTTATTGAGTAGTTACCTTGACAAGTAATTTCTAATTTAATCTTCAGACAATCCTTTGAGTTGCTTACTATATGATTCCCATTTTACAGATGGAACAACTGAGGCACGGGGAGGGGAAGCAACTTCTCCTCAGTCACACAGCTCGTAAGCAACAGAGCAAGGATTTGAACCAGGCTGTCCGGCTTTAGAGCCACCCTCTCGCACTTGCCTCCTAGTTTAGCCCTCTCTAGTGCTGATACACTGTCTTGATCAGCCTTCTAGACTGATTCCTGACCCCACCTGTCACCCCCAGGTGCAGTCACGCCTGCTCCCGGGCTCTGCCTCTCTGTCTGCAACCCACTCTCCCCAACCAACGCTGATCTTCTTCCTGGATCCGGGAGCTGCTGCCACCTACAGGCCTCGTGTGCAAAGACACGTGAGCTCTTAGAGGATCTCAGGGCAGAAGGGTGGCCTGGGGACCCAGTGCCCGCTGTGCTCTACCATGTGGCTAAGCGGTGGCAGAGGGCTGAGAGCTTTAGTTCTGGAGAGTTCTGCATCTGGCCCCTTCTGCAATGACAATCTGGACCCCACAAGGAAAAGAAAGGGTGGTGGGCTCTACGGGGAGACACACACAGTGGTGGGAGATGAGCCCCCAGAGAAGCCTTTACCATCTGGGATGAGTCAGCCTCCTGGTGCAGTCCTGCCTAAAGACAGGAATTAATTGAGCTCAGAAAGAATATTTCCCATTTCTGTACTACCTTCCTTTTCTAGCTTGCTAAAGACTTTAATGACAGCACCATAATCCAGCCAGAGGAAATCCATGAAGCCGTGAATGTCCCCGTGCTTTAGATCTATGACGGACTCTTCTTTTCCAAGTAATCGGTAGGGTCTACATGGATTAGGGAGAGATCAAGAAAGCCAAGATCTTTGGGGACAAACAGATTTAGAATCTGCAGCCAAAATTTAGACTGAGCAGCAAAGCCAGGCATTGTCTGCCAAGGGACTGGTCTAGTCCGGGAGGTTTTATTTCTAGACTTGCCACTGGCTTGCTGTGCCAGCTGCAGAAGCCACCTCCCTGGTCCTCAGTGCTGATGTCGTATGTGAAGAGAGGAAGGGGGGAGGGGAAAGAGAATGGTGGTCAACTTTGCACCTACTGAGAGGTAGGCACTGTGCAAGATGCTTTACATCAGATACCTCCCAAGCCCCCAGGTGGCAAATATTATATCCCTGTTTTAAAAAGGAGGAAATGGACTCAGAAAGGTAAACCCAATGTCACACAGCTGGACTGCAAAGCAGTGACAACAATGGTAACAATAATACCAGTATGATAATAATAATCAATGTTTATATAGTGTATGCTGTGTTCTGGGCAATATATTAACTTGTTTAGACCTCGTTAAAAACCATTAGGTAGGTATTGTTATCCCCATTTTACAGGTGAGGAAACTGAGAAAAGATCTGTAACTCCCACCTAGTGCCAGCAGCACCACCGTCCTTCCTCTTCGTGTCACAGAACTGCCATAAGGACCAGAGGTATTGGGGAGCAGAAACCATGTTCCTCCAGAAGAAAGGGGTCCCTGGGCCTGCCTTTGCTTCCTTCCTAGAGCGGGTCCCCCTCGGGCCATGACAGTCACTTAACCTCTGTTGATGAGTTGAAAGCCCAGGGGCTCACACATGGTTATTATTATTTTTCCTGTGTTCCCAGAAAGCTGGAGTGGGTGGTCTCAGAGGTACAGAGCACAGCTGGGGAAAATCTTGGAAGAGAGGCGTGGAGAACAGATTTTGCCATGAATGAGGAATGGATAAGTGAGTGGGAGAATAAATCTGAGATGGACGGTTGAGAATAGAAGGGTAGGAGAGAGAGGGAAAGACTCCTTAGCCAGGACCCAGGAGCTGGTCAGGGAACCCTCCAGTGCCTGAACACCTGTGCCTACCACCCCAGGACATGACCCTTCTCTCTGATCCCCTAAGAACTGGGATCTACAGGCCCAAGGTCAGGTTGGGCATAGCAGACACCTGAGGTGGGAGTAGGCAGATTGAATTTTGAGACCCACCTCTTCTACTTACTCCCTGTGTGGCCCTGGATGGTTACATAACCTCTCTGAGCCTTAACCTCTTTCCTCACCTGTAAAAGGGAGATTACATCCTTGCCTTACAGAGATGATGTGTGAATTAAGCACAGTAATGTCCAGACAGTCCTAAGCACAGCGGTGACCAGCCCCCAGCAGAGCTCAGTAAACTTTGGCTACAATTATAAGCTGTTATAAAAGCACTTGGCATGGAGTAAATACTCCACAAATAAGCGTCATACAAGTGTAAATAATTATTAATTATTATGATGACTAATCATCGTTATTGTTGACGATGAACGTGAGAACTGCTGTCCGAATGCCAGCTCCCTCACTCAATCTGTCTGCAGAGAGTTTTCACTCCTCAACAACAAAGAAATGTTCACGGTCCCTTCACAGCCCCTGAGCAGCACAGCAGGGGCCGGTCCCACCCAGGCAGGTGATGTTCAACCCCATCTGTTAAGGTTGCTTATGATTTGCATCCACTTAGCTCCTCTGCCTCTGGGTTGTTAAATATTTTGGATAGCACCTAAACAGAGCACCCCTTTCCGATTCCTTGAGTCCTGGCTCATGGGCAACTAGGCAGACATGCATATAGAAAGTGACCCGAGGAAGTCCTGGTCAAGTTCCCAGAACTCTGCCTCTGGGGCAAGACAGGTAGGCAAGGAGCAGGCTCTCCTGAGCATTCAAATCTCACCAGCGTCCTGAAAAATGAATCGGAGCAAGGCCTGGCAGAGGTACCGAGGGCCTAAGTCAGCACCCAGCATAGCAGAATGGATGGTTGGATGGTTAAATGGATGGATGGATAGACGGATGGATGGATGGATGGATGGATGGGAGGGAGTATATTAATCATGCCCTTTTACTTTCTGTCTTTCTGATGCTTTGACATCTGGGATTTTGCTGATCCTGGAGAGTCTGCAACTCCCAAGGCTAGTCAGTTCTTGGAGGTGGTCAACACACCTTCCATATGCAAAACAACCAATCCCGAGGGCTTATCCCACTCCACCCCCCCTTACGCTGCCCCCCAGCCACCTCCTTTATCAGGCTCTCACTCTTTGGGACACTATCTACCTTCCCTCTTCACCCCCCACCCCCCACCCCACTCCTGGCCCGGGGCCAGGTACCCGATTATTAGGGACAGTCTCTATGCCCCAGAGCACTGTTGAAATCATTCAAACTAGCCAATCCTGAACCAGCTTACCTTGCCTCACCTGTTCCTTCCCTTGGAAACCACGGTAAAGACTCTAGCCCATGTTTTGCCCTCACTCCTTCTGCCTCTGGACCAACACGGGTGCTTCCCTACATAGCCCCTTTTGGCACGGCATGCCCCTCCTCTGGGGGGCTCTGAGTAATAAACGACCTTTTCAATGGCAATCATCTTCTGATCCGTTGGCCTTACCATAGCTGAATAATAATAAAACCTACATTTTAGAACAGGGAGGGGGAAGGAAGGAAGGAAGAAATTAACCTGGGCCTCAAGTTTCTGTAGGAATGATCTGATCCACAACTCTGTTCTATGCTTTGAAAGAAGCCGCTTCCCCCAGCAGACCCTGGATGTGTTTGGGAGAATAGCCCTCCATAGTGCCATAGGCCAGCAGTTATTATAACACACTACCTTTGGGGACAGACTTGGATTTGAATCATGACCCTGCTTTCACCGGCTGTGAGACCTTGGATAACTGACTTAACCTCTCTTGACTCATTTCCTCAACTATTACATATACATAAAAATATATACATATTATAACATGCATCATCTCACTCTAGCATCAAAGCATTTGGAAGGCAGGTACCTTGTGGTACCTTCCAGTAGATAGGTACCTTCCAGGACCCAGGACCCGGCTCAGAGCATGCATTCCATAAATAATGAATATTATCACTTGGCTATTCTGCGAGTGCCACCTGATAGCAAGACTGTGCAACTTCTTTACCCAGAAGCCCCTATTTGGGTCTCTTGGTCTCAGCATCCCAGAAGGTGTCTCAACTTCCCTGCCCAGTCCTTGGCCCAGAGTTTGGGTTCATCAGGCAGAAGTCTTGCTGTGCTGTGTGAAGGAACTAGAGGGGCCCTGTACCCCACCACGTGCTTGGATTTTCACGACCCTGGACTCATGCTGACCCCCTTCCTGCAGAGATGCTGTTTGTCTTCCCCTGCTGATTTTAAAGTGAGGAGAGGCAGGACCTTTAAACTGGAATAACATTTCCATTTCCCCATCTCCCCCGTACACCATCGTTCAGTAAAGATAGCTAATTTTAAAATGGCTGCTCTTATGATGGACGAGATTAATGGATCTTGAAGAGCAGCCAGTATACCAACTGCTCCTGCAGCCATGATGAAAGCTAATAATGTAGAAAATTCTGCCAATTCCTTTAATTCATGAATATTTAAGCCTGTGAAAAATCTGTCAGATTATATCATTTTTTTCTGGTGATTTTCTGCCTAAGTACATTCGTGGCAGCCTGCCAGTTGCTCAAGAAACTTCAGCAGGAGGAAAATCATTTTTGTTGTTGTTGTTACTAGGGGTTGCGTCTTCCTGCTGAAATTATCCCCCCTCCCCGTCCCAGGATAGAGTCAGGTTCCCTTGACCCGGCCAAAGGCAACCCCTGGGATTTTAACTCAGCAGGCATAGATCCTTCTAACCCAAAGGCTGGCAGGGACTTTTGAGATCAGAGCCCATGTTTTTCAAATTGTGTTCCATGGTACCCAAGGGTTCCTCCAAGGGTCCCAGGGGATCCCTGGGAGGGGTTGGGCTAGAAATGCTGGGTGGATGGAGCTGTGGGATGCAATCCCCACTTCCACCCAGCAGTTCTGCTTTCTGCATTGAGGTTCCATGTAATACTTCCCTGGGAAGAAATGTAAAAGGGGTATGGAAACCACCGTTTGGTCCACCCCACCCCTCAAATAACAGATGGAGAAACTGAACCCTCCACAAGGGTAAGTAGTTTGTCCATGTCACCGAGAACATGAGCAGTGGCACCTGAACTGCAGCCAGGGTCCCCAGCTCCAAGCCAGCTCGCTCTCCTTTCCAGCACCTTCTGGCCGACCTCTTGACTGCCCAGGACAGCCTATGTGGGGGAAGCAGGAAGCCCTGCTCAGATGGGATGGCCACTGTGGATGGGGCTCTCGGAAGCCAAGATGTTTCCTCACAGAGACCAGAGAAAGACAATGAGCTCGGTTAGCAGCTTGAGAGGGAGGGGCAGGTCACTTCAGAGATTATCATTCGGGGACTTGGCTGGGGGAAGGAGCCAAAATTGCTTTTTATAGGGACTCCAGTTCCTCGTTTTGTTCCCCTCGGGTGATTCTCCAAAGAAAGCCGGCTCGAGTCAGCTGGAAGCAGGGTGAGGCCAAGGCGGCGGGGCTGCGATGGCCCCGGTTCAGCGCTTGCCCCAGCTGGTCACGTCCTCACCGGGGCAGCCCACACCCTGCCAGGAGCCCAGGTCAGCCTCCATCCAAAATCAACAAGTCTTTTGTGCTTCTCCTTTAGACACGGTGTAATTACAGCAAACATGCATTGGCGGCGAGCAGCGATCATGAGGCAACTTTTGAAGGATCTCAGATGCGCTTGGCGGCGGGTCCTGGAGAGCAGCGTGAGGAACCGCAGCCCCACTTGACCTGTGCAGGCCCCCAAAACAAGGGATTTTCAGAAGTCATGAGTGGTGTGTTGGCACGGCATCCATGCCATGTCGTTCATCAGCTATTTCCTTGATAGCGGGTTGCGTTTTACCACCAAGACGACCGACTGACTCATGAGCCGGTTACTTAAATAAATAAATACTTGAGGCCGGCTGTGCCCGCCGAGCAAAACATGTCAGGCTGCAGACAAAATGGGCCCCTGCTGCTTTCCCGGGTGGTTTCATTTTTTTCCTCTTTTTGTCTTCTTGTTTGAAAACTTTGAAAGTGAAACCACACACCTCCCCTCGCGAGCTGCTCTGTTCCCAGGGCAGCCGGAGGAGATGGGTGGGGCCGAGGTTTCACTGCAGCATCAGCATCACCCCTAGGCAGGTCCCTGGGTCCATCCACCGGGCTGGAACCCAGGCCCCGCTGTGCCCGGCTCTGAGCAAGGCCCAGCGCAGGGAGGTGGCCGAAACCTGACGTTAGGTGACCACAGCACGCGGCCCGGAACCCACTCAGGAGTGGCCAGCTTCATCCTCTCAACAGATTTAGGAGGAATAGAGCGATATCCTCGATTTATAGGTGAGGAAATAAAGGCTTCTCAGTTTAAGATTCGTGCTCTGGTCCCATATGTAGTAAGGAGCAGAGTTGGGGTTCAAACCCAGATTTGTCTGATTCCAATGTCTTTCACCTTCCCAGACTCATCGTATCACGAATATCTAACATTTTGAGTGAGGTCTGTGGGCTTGTTTCTAATGTGATTAACACTGACATAGCCCTTTGCCCCGCCCCAGGCTGACATTTAAGCTTGGGAGGCACAGAGTCAGGGATGAATTAGACAATTGATGGTTTCACTGCGCTTGTGGTTAACACCCTCAAGCAGAAGTATGGGGTGTTTATAGCAAGGGACAGAGGGCCTGGCTTGGCCTGGCCTGAGAGGCCTGAGGCATGAGTAGGAATTAAGTGGGCAAAGCATTCCTGGCAGAGGGAAGGGAAAGAGCAAAGGCCCTGAGGCCAGGATGACAGTGTGCTGGGTGCTAATGGAAGGCCAGGGACCCTGAAGCACACAGAGAGTATGGAGGCCTTAAGGGTGGAAAACTTAGCAGGGCCCTTGAAGACCAAGAAAATAATTAGGGGCTTTATCCTAACAGCAAGGGACAGCCATTGATGGGTTAAGTAGCAGCATAAATAGATCTGAGGTTTTTTGAAAGGATCCCCTTTGTTGTTTTATAAGCAGTAGGCTGAGGGGCAGGAGTGGGTGTGGGGAGAGTTACTGAGAGACCAGAGATGCTGGTGGCTCTTGGTTTAGGGTCCGGCCAAGGGCACAGGCTGCTTCTCTCCCCATCACCTCACCTCACTGTGCCTCAAAGATGCTCGTAGGGCTCAATCAGCTAATAAAGTTCATCTCATGACCGGGGACTAATTTTATAGAAGTGGAAGTGACGCTCAAAAGGGCAGAATGACGACCGCGGCCTGGCAGCCAACGAATGGCCCTCAGTTCTCTCAATCCCGTGCTCCTACCCATCTCAGCACCTCTCTGGCCTGGGAAGTCAGCTCCAGCTAGGGTTGGGGTGACTGCAAAAGCAGCACCACCTTTCCTCTTCTCCCTCCTGTCTCCACACTAAGTCGTTTATTTTATTTATTTATTTTTTTGCGGTACGCGGGCCTCTCACTGTTGCGACCTCTCCCGTTGCGGAGCACAGGGTCCGGACGCGCAGGCTCAGCGGCCATGGCTCACGGGCCCAGCTGCTCCGCGGCATGTGGGATCTTCCCGGACCGGGGCACGAACCCGTGTCCCCTGCATCGGCAGGCAGACTCTCAACCACAGCACCACCAGGGAAGCCCTAAGTCATTCTTTTGAGCAGTCCCCTGTGTCCCCTTCAATAGGCTTTTGAAACCTGCTTAGCCAATTTTCATCAGTATTGAAAACTCTACTCTGATTCAGGCCTCCCTGGCTTAGGCTAGCAGTTCCCTCCTCCAGGAGGGCCTCTCCGGGCCCTGCCTTACCCAGCTGGTGATTTGTTGCCCAGTGGAGACCCAGTTTTGAGGAGGGCTCAGGAATCCTTCCCCAACCCCCACCTTCCCCTGCTCTTCTCACCCCATCCTCCTTCCCAAGGATGGATGAGTCCAGGGCAAAGGGAGAGCTGCTGGCTCTCCTCCTCCTCCCTTGGTAGCTGGGCCAGACCCTCTGTGCTGGCCTAGAAGGCCTCAGGCTGGCTGGGCCTCTAGGTTTGGGGGCAAGTGCCCTCTCCTGCCCTCTGTCTGGCCCTCCCTCGACTGTTCCCACCCCCCTTACAGGACAGAGCAAGACTCAGATCTGGGCCCTAGTGTGGGTGAAAGGATTCCCAGAGCCCCATACTGTGCCCGGGCACCAAGGTGCCAACTCTGTAACATGTCCCTTTGGCTGTCCTGCTCCTTTGCCATGAAGAGCCCTCGGGGCACTCGTGAGGAAGGGCAACATTTTGACCTAACACCATCCTCAGAGCACCGTAATCCTGCCACAATTTCGAACCCCCATCCTATAGATGGGGAAGTAGAGGTTCAGAGGGGCTAAGTAGCCTACTTGCTGCTAATCGGAAATCAGCAGATGAAACCAAGCCTGTTCCTTATAGGCTTCCTGGCTGGGTGCGGAGGAGGGAGAGAGGAACCCTGAGGGGCTCTGTCCCCATCAGCCGGCCCGTGATGACACCCCCAGGACCTCAGCACACACCAGACCTACAGAGGCCTGGCATCACATCCTAACAGCCAGCATGGGGCCAGGGTCTGGAGACTGGAGGGCCCATCATCGAGGTTCCCACAGAGAGCCACCATCAAGCCCCAGCAGTGGGTCATGCCCCCCAGCTCAGGGTCCTCAAGTCCCAGTACCCCAGAGGGCATCAGTGTGAGAAGATGATGTGTGACTAGCGTTTAGTTACTCCGCTCTCCTTGGCAGGGTTTTCAGAATCTTTCCCGTCAGCTCCGGACAGGAGCACCCCTGGCCCCCTTCCCTGCTGTCACCTCCTCCCCAGTCTCCCTCCCCCCCTGGCACTCCAGCACCACTCAGAGAAGGTCTCTTTCTACCTCCCGCTATCTGGGCAAACTTACTTACAAGACCGTGGTGGGAGGGACCACGGGCGGGATTTATGCACCAGCAGGGCTCTGGCAGGGTAGCTGCCTCGCTCACCGAACACACATCATGAAAACTTACTGCTCAGAAAACATCGTGAGCGCCGCTAACTCATAAACAGTTAATGCCCCCATCGCGGGGCAGCAGGGGTTCCTGCGAGGAGGTTAATTGCCTCCAGAACAAGGAGGCCAGGGTCTCCCCAGGGCCAGGAGGCCTCTCCCTCATCCCTGCTTCTCAGCCCACGTCCCCACCCTCACCCAAGCGCTGGGCGGGGGCTTTCACTTCCTGGCTCCGCTGGCTGGGGATGAAGAAGCTTCTAAACGTCTTTAAACATCACAACATAGGCCCTATCTTCTCTTCCTACCTTACCTCCCCGAAGCCTTCCTTAATTCGTTTTATACTCCAGTCATACTGAGTTAGTTGCCGTTCCCTAAATAGGCCGAGTTCTCTTACCCCACTTCACCCTTGCACATACAATGTCCTCCATCCCACCCCACTCCCAACCTTGTCGTCCGGCGACACTTCTTAAGTGTCAGCTCGAGGGTTCTCTCCATGTCATGCGTGTTTCTAATGAAGCACCACATGGGATGGCATCTGTCCACTGACATGATGGCGACCCCCACCAGACCAAGTTCCTTGAGGGCAGAACCATGCCTTTTCGTATTTAGAAGCATCCCAGCTCTCTCTCTCTAGCTCTGTCTGCTGGCCCCAGTGGGTGTCCAATAAAGAAGGAAGGAAGCAAATGGAGGAATAGGGGGAAGACTCTAGGGCCCACAATCCTCATCTGGAAGACGGGCTAAGAGCCTCTTTGTCAAGATTAGGGAAAAACTGAGATAACACAGGCAAAGCACAGTGCCTAGGACATAGCAGACACTTTGTAAATGTTTGTGGACAAAATTAAGGCACGAAGGAGGCAGTGCATGGTGTTCACAGAAGAAGAAATTGGAGAGGAGGAAAACTGGAGGCAGAAGGGGAGAAAACAAATTCTTCATGGACACCAATCACATACCAGGCACTGTTCCAGGCCCTAGGTATACTCAGTGGTGAAAAAACCCACAAAAAATAGGCATAGTGCTGTACCCATGAACTTACAATCTAAAGGGAGACAGAGCACCATCTTTATCCCACTGTGGGATGTGGGCACTGCCATTCTAAGACTTTATTTACTTCCCATGGCCTCCAAGATCAAGGCCAATCCCCTGAGCTTGCATTTGTATAGCAGGATAGATAGACTACGCTACGTAACAAACAGCCCCCCAAATTTCAGTGGCTTACACAAGTTTATCTGTCATTCACGCAAATCCACGCGGGTCCAGACACGATCTCGCCTGTGTGGACCCTGTGTTCTGGGCTGCTGTGCCCCAGTAGCACCTCCATGTGTCACTGCCCATCTCTCTTCTGTTCAGGTTGGTAAGGTTGAAACCCCAACCTATACCAGAGCCCTTGACACCCACTCCCGTTCTTGTCCAACTGGCATATACTGGTGGATCCTGCGATTCTGACATACTGAGCTAAGCTGTGCTGTAAGGTTCGGGGAGAGAGGAGGGAAGCAAGGTGCTTGCCGAGTTTCCTTCAGGACTCATCCTCTCCACCTGAAAAATGGGCAGAATTGTTCTTGCTGCCTTGGACGGGGAGAAGGATGTCTCTTTCTGCCTCTGGAAAGAATCCACCAGCTAGAATCTTCACTCTCCCTGAAGACCAAGGGCAGCTGTAGGCTGTGAAACAGAGAGTGGAAAGAAATTCATCTTGAGGTTGGAAGCCCTCAGCCCATGGCCACAACGTGTCAGCTGAAGGGGAAGCAAGCCATGGAGTTCAACATAAAGAAGAGGAAACGAAACCAACTCATCTCCCTGGTTCCCCCCATGCCACTGCAAGTGCATTAGAGGATAAATCAGCTTGTGCTCTTCATTTCTTTTCCTCTTGGAGGTAGTGGTAGGGCTGGGGGTGAGTAAGCCATATGGTTCCCCAATGTGGTCATGGTCAAGGTTACTGGACACTTGGTTCAGCCCCCTCCCTGGCCCGTGAGAATGAGTTCCGCATCCTCTCACACTTACCGCATCCCGCCCCTGGCAATCCCCTCTTGGCTTTTGCTTCCCTCTCCCAAGTTCAAGTCAAAGCATGGTCGGCCCCTGCCCCCACCCCGCTGGCCCAGCCAGCCCCTAAACAGAGCACAGGGTACGGTCCGAAACCACATCTTGCAATGCGATACACTCCATCTGTGGAAAGACTGATGCAATTGTGGGTAAGAAGTCATTTCTGCTGATGAGAAAAACCACAGCCACCCAGTGGAGGTGAGAGGGCAATCCATCAGGGCCCTCAGGACACACCCTGAGGAAAGGCACAACAGAGAGCCCTCAGGCTTCCCAGAGCAACCCAGCCACACCGTGGCCGTGGGCCAGAGAACAGAACCCCGGTGCACGGCTGCCCACTTGCTGAGATGCAGCAGGTCCGGAGTCAGGAGGGAGGCAGGGCTGCTGGGAAGGGTGGGGTCGGTTCAAAGACACCAACTCTTCCGGGGACCCCCGGGT